ACAGGGTGCAGGATGAACAGGGTAAGGAAAATCTCTGTAAGAAACCACCTGCAGAAGGACAGAAGCAAGAAAGAATTGGAAGGAGAGGACGTGAAAAAGGCTTAGATGTTAAGAACATGGTCCAGGGAAGGAGGTACCTAAAACTCCTCAGTAGATACGGAGCCAGACATTAGAAGCCTACATAGGCAAATGTGAGGACTCCGAGAACAACTTGGCCAGGGCGAAGCCACTATTTCAGCAAATGAAAAAAAAATCGCTGAGCTAAGACAGCTGAATGATAATCAGCTGCACACGATCAAAATGGCCAACCTCACCTTGGAATGGGTGAGGATAAGGTGGAGGATGGCAGACAATAAGTTCACTAGACTTATGATCTCCATACAGGCAGCTGGAAGAGAACTAGTAAAACTTGGTAAAAAAGCTTGATGGGATACAGGCTTAGGAGGAGAGGAGCTAATATCATGAATGTTGCATGGCAAGGAAAGGGTTTTCATGTAATGCATGGTTATGAATGATAGGTATGTTACAGTTTTGTACGTATGACTCATTCGACTCATATGATTTGTCATATTGTGATTTATTATGTTTCGCACATGACTCAAATATGAGTCATGGGACATGTACCTGGCAATTGTGCCTTGCAAGTGTGCCTTTCAGGAATGCCTTGCGTATATGATTTATATTTTGCACATGTGACTACTTGGAGTTATATAACTTGTTTATTGTATTATGATTGATATATGAATTTTCGCACATGACCTTACTACGAGGTCATGGATTTTAATCATACGACCACTTTGGTCATATGATTTGTTTGTTATGATTTGGTTTGGCACATGTGACCAGTTTGGGTCACATGACTTGAGGCAGGAAAATCACTATCTAAGGAGGCCGGTACGGCCAAGGAGGATAGTTTCTTCAGCTTTGTTCTAAGTACTTTTTCTACTTATTACTATAACGAATATACAACACCTTTGCCCTCTTTATCATTATCATGACTTTTATTATTGTTATACTAAAGAGAACTCTTCACAAAGAAGAGTTAGAGAAAGGTTATGATAGGCATTTCTGATAGAAGACAAAGGTCTTACACAATCGGTAATATAGGTATAGACCTAGAGCTGTTGTAAAACTAGAAGAGAAAGGAGAAGAGAAATATCCTTCCCCGTCGCCAAGAATTAACCATCTGAAGGAGGATTATTACATCCAAGTAGTAATAATGATCAATTCAAAACTCCAAATGGCAGCTATTTAGGCATACACTTCTCTAGTGTTTTCCATCAGGGAACAAAGTACTGCTAGTAGTATGAGACAACATTAGACTTCTCATACCCATCAATGTAAACTTCTTTGTGAACTTGTTTCTATTCAAAGCCTAGCTTTTTCAGCCAGACAAGATATATTAATACAGTGATACTCATTTTGTTCTTTCTTACTATTCTTTTCAATTAAAGTGTTATAGATATAGGAAACACAGAGCTCAGTATTACTCAAGCTAGTTCTTGTAGTCCAATTCTCAGTTACTACTTTAATAAAACCTTTTCCAGATATATTTATAATTTTATTTTATTCTATATTATTTTCATAATTAAAAAGTTAAAGAGATTAAAGAACATATCATACTTTCACCTACTCCATCTAAGTACTCAAGTACTGCAATCAATGTACCCTCATCATTAAGCATACTTTGCGACTTTTCATGCTTGCCATACTGATGGGATATGATTGTTCTGATTTTAAACCCACTCTTCTCCCAACTAATAGTATTTTCAGCTGTCCCTTTGCTTTGCTCCAATCAAGTTACTGTACTTTGTACTGCTGTCTTGTGTGGGATATTATTACAGACCAGATTGTGACAAGTTAGATTGTGGAGGCGGAACAAAAACTTTCACATGGCTTACACTTAGGAGTCATAGGGGTTGTTGGTTATGTGATGACTCACAGTTGTGAGTCACATGATATGTTGACATTTACCCATGACTCAGACTTATGAGTCACATGTTTCATGTATGTGATGTACTTCGCTGTTAGGTAGAGACAATGTGATTGACTTCATAGTTGTCTCAGCCAATCAAGTTTCATTTCTGTAGACGGAGATTGTATAGGAAGGCTCAAACTTCACTTATTTCGTTTATAACTACTAAGAGCGAAGTAAAGTAGGTAAAGTAGAACAGAATCATGAAGACAATATTATATTGTTAAGGTCTCTTCTCGTTTGCTGAATGATATCTAAAGGCTTGAGAGGCACTTGGATATTTATATTCTGCATCTGAGTATTGCAGACTACTTCTATCTATTATACAATTAAGTCATTCTGATTGTAACTCATAATGTCTGGTATTCTTCTAAGATACGTACACCTAGAAATCCTGAAAATCACCATACCCTTTTCTGTAATTACAATATAACTAACTAGGAACTATGCTGTTCTCAATAGTAATTATCGGATCATCAGAGTCTTTAGACTTACAGCCTAGGTCTCAAGTCAAACACAGTTGGCCCCAATTATCTCCATTATTGATGAAATGATCAGGTTTATCTGTGGGTTGTGTCTGCGAAAGTCGTTGTAGTTGCTACCTTTCTCGGTCACATGACTTCAAAATTGTATAACTCTCTACCTAACCTACAGATATCTTCCAGAAGACTTCCTACTCATTAGCAGAATGCTATTCTACCTGATTGACTGATTATCCCTTGGTCGGCAACCCTTGGTTGCTCTGGGTAATATTGTTCTAATTGCCATTCTAGTATTGAGGAAGTTATCCCCACAGCTATAACATGTTCTAAAACCTAGTTGTAACACTCCGTGAAGTTTATTGGATTCTATAGTAGCATCACTTGGAGTTCTAGACTCTTCTGGTTATTGTATGTGGGTGCGAATATATTGGTTTCTTGTTCAAATTCTTTATCATTTGATACCATCTCTTTATGCAAAAATGTCCTGTTACCTATGTACCATGCCATGCATGTTACATCTTTGAAGCCTAGTAGCTTCCTGGATAGTTGATAGATTTACTCCGTTCTGCTTGCTAGACCTAGCCGAAAGTCTTCTCCCATATATCCTACCATCGGCATCTGGTCAGATGGACGCCTGGGACATAAATTGTGTCATCCTTATACCTTTAATTCTGTTGTACTATAGTCACAGGACGCAACTTAAGTTGATATGTACCGTGATATGCAGGCCCCATAGGGGGGCCAGAGGGCGGTGTTGGAAACCATGGATTCCAATTCTAAGAGGTGTTACCTTACTCAGGGTGGTTCCTAGGTATCCGATCTTGGTATTCCTAATATTAGCTCACATGACTTGTTTTCAGGATGATGATTGGATTAGGTATGTTGTGCTGTTGACTCTTACAAGTTAACTTAGGATTTCGCATGACTCACAATTGTGATTTAAAGGATATGGTGACACAAAAGCATTAGTCCCACAGGGTTAGGATAGGGTAAGATGTCTCTATAAATAGTGAGGTCCAGAAACACCCAGTACCGACTCCTCACACAACTACTTAAGTTCTTTCCTATACTACCAGTTAAATCAATACTTTATACACATCTTTTGCAATGCTACATGAGAAAGAGGTCTCGCTTATAAGAGGTAACACAAGTGTAGTAACAATCTTCATTATCAGAAGTGATAGCAATGATAAGAGCTCTCTGAGCTATCAAGATATCAAGAAAACAGAAGAGGTATGATCATTACCTGTGAAAGAACTAAGTAAAAAAGAGTAAAATCATTACACATATCGAAATACTTTATTTGCCAATTCATAAACTGGAAGACTTTGAAGTAGCAGTCAAGAACTTGGACATTGTGGGAGGTTCTTCTCTTCCGATATAAAACCTTACAAATATCGAAAACAGCTCTATATTATGATTATTGAATTTAGTAAAAACTTCTTTTACAGTACTATGATCAATTCATATTCTAGGAAAATAATCATACCATTCTTGAGGACTGTTAATTTCATCTCTTTTATGACTATTAGTCACTTTTCTTCAACTTTCCTTTCCATATCCTCCCAATACTTAAGTTCATGCTCTTCTCTGTACTCCTCCTGTTTTCTTACTCTCTCTTTCTCCTTATGTTCCCTTTACCATAATATTGTTCTAAATGGTTACTTCTGAGTATTCGGTCTCAGGGCATTTGTTCTGTAAGGCTGAATAGACAAAGGTGTCTCTGTTTGGGATTTGACAAATTCTTCTGCTTCCGCAGTAGAGTCTTCCTGCTAGCAGGACTCAGTCTCTGAAATCGGACTTGGGTCACTACTGCAGGGCATTCCGGTTTGTAATTCTGGGATGCTGTATACTTTTTTAGGACATCCCCCTTGGGCTGCTACTTTGCCTTGGCATTTCTATTTATCGTTTAAAGAAGGCATGCTAATGGTATTGTTCTGTGGAATGTGTAATTATTTGTCACTCTTGCTGTATACCATTCTTATAACTTGATAACTATTTATTATTTTTACAACTTTGTCAGCTGGGCCCCTCAGTACTTTTCAGTCTGCTCCCATGTACATTCTATCACATGTTTCACTCTCACCAAAATTTGCACTTTTCAATTTTGAACTACTTTTTTTAATAACACTTTATTAAAAAACAAAAACATCAGGCCTCTTCTCCTCTTGAATGTCTCCCTTGCTGATTTTTTTTATTTTTTTTATTTTTATTCCTTGTTGTGGTTGACTAGTTCAATTTCGGGTTTGCCTATTTTGAGGACCACGATTGAGTCGCTTTGCACTATAGGACCAGCACCTCCCCTTCCCCCATCACCTCCAGACAACCTTCCAGAACTAAGCGCCCTATCACCACCATCTTTCTTTCACCGGGAGCAGCTACAGACTAGGCAAGCGTTCGTTAGGCTTCTTGGTTCCTTCGTTCAACGAGTAATTCAGACCAGGACCCCAAAAAAGACACGCACAGCAAACCGCTTTTTTTTTTCTTTTTTTTTTCTTCCCTCTTCCTTCCCCCTTCTCATCCACCCATCCATCCATCCATCCCTTTTCTTTTCCCAGCCTTCGACGGAACGGAGAAAATTGGCACGCCCAGGCATAATGCCTCGATTCCCATAGCCTCGTGCAAAACTAAAGACACAGTTTCGTTTAACGTCTTACCTTGGTTTCCCTCGCTACGGTACCGTTGTGTGCTTGGTGGCTTGTTCGTTCGATTTCAGCCTCTTCCACGCCTCCCTCCGCTGCGGTTCCCCACGAATGAAGACACACGACTTGACTTACTTGCCCCCCTCGCGCTTTCGCTAGGCTGACTGATTGACTGTCGAAAGAACGAAAGGGTTTACATGCAATTCGTCTGCGTTTGTTAAGAGTCGAGATATCCCCCCCGTGCTTTCTGCTGTCTTCCTTCCCGCCTTTGTTCGTTTCCGTTGTCGCCTATTGCACCTGTTCCATTTTACGGAATTACTGGGATAGGAAGCGTTATTAGTGTGGAGGAAAATACTTTTTCCTAAAAAAAAATTTCGGTTTATTTCCTCTCACTTTTTTCTCTGCGTTTGTCACCCTGTGTCAGTTAGCCCTATACCACGAGGGAGAGAAACGAATAGGAACGGGAGGTTAGAGGATGAAGTTACAACGGCTTTCACGTGCTCTGGAGACGCAGCAGGCTCACCAGGAGGGGGATCCAAACCCTCAAGGGAAGGCATTAATCGTAAGTTTTTGCGCTGGGGACTTTACTGGATAGGATGTGATGAATGATGGACTAATGGTTATTTCAACGGGATAAGATTGCCGTTGTCTTGATTTCGTTTCTGTTCTTTGCCATAATCACATATATTGTCCTCCGATACATCCGACAGGCCCACCCTCTAGCACCAAAGTTTTTCCCCGAGAAATGGAAGAAGAAGTGGATTACTTGGCAACCAGGAATATATGCCCCCACAGCATCCTCAGCCAGCCCAACCCAGGAGCCAAGTGCGGCTGCCCGGCGAGAACTAGAGAGGAGAGAAAGGAGGGAGAGGCGGAGAAGGGAGCAGCGGCAACAGCAGCAAGCATCAGGCGTGAACAGAGTAGAAAGTGTTCGGAGTATAATGACTCTACCAGAGTACAGGGCAGTGCCGCTGCCAGATCGGGAGAGGACAATAGGAAGGGAAGGAGAACGTGGAGGAATCGATGTAGTGGTTGAGGCCCCAGAAACTGCCGAGGAAGAGGAGGAGCGACGAGAGGAGCACATGCGGGCACTGTACGAGATCCGTCTAGCCAGGCAGCTGGAGCGAGCAGCGGAGCGGGAGAGTGCGCAAAATGGTGGACGAGGCGGTAGCGCTACCCACACTGCAGCTGGTTCCCGAAACAGAGGCAACGGTTCGGCAACTTCCCTCGCCGCGACGCTAGCAGCAGTACAGGAACGGGAACGGCGTTTGAGCGAGGTCTCCTATGCAGAGATTGGTGTCGCAAGGCCTGATGGATCCCGAGTCCGTGCGAGCTCTGACGTCTCCGACAGGGACAGCCTTCCCCTCCTGGACGCCGGCGCACCGATGGGCGTGGGGGATAGTATCCGCAGTGGCCAAAGCAGCCATATTCGAACCAACAGCGCTCTCTCCCTCACTAGCACCCTCGGCACTCCCGAGCGACGCCGCAGCGACGAGATCTTTGGCATGGGAAGCACTCGCCCGAGTCTGGATAACCGCGATAGCATCCACGGCAGCGCCCCCAGCGACCGGCCGCCAGGCTATTCCGGCGACCCGGACTGGGGCGCGCCGCCAGAGTACCCTGGCGCTGTCGAAGACGGCCGAGGTGATATGAGTGTCCCGGCATTACGGATCGAGACTGCCTCCCCGGATCCTTATAGATCCCCACAGCAAGCTCATCCTTAACTTACCTTTCTCCATTTTTTATCTCCTTTTGCAGTCATTAATGTGAATACTTACCCTTTCTTTTGGCGCAACTTGGTTCTTTTTTTTTCTTTTCTTCTCCGAAGTGTTTGGTATACATCCTTCCTTCCTCATATCCTTTTCACCTATTTTCTTCGGCGTTCTTTTCCGCTTCCTCCCCTTCTTGGCTCTTTTCGCCATCACCACCGGGGTAAAACCGTTGGAGGTAGCCTCTTCTTTTTTCTTTTCCGTTGTCCCTTTTCCTCGGTTGGTTTGGCTGGTCGGGGTGTGGAACGTCCGATAGAATAATGAGGGAAACGAGAGACGAGGTCAATACGATAGTAAGCGTATGGATGATGCAGTGCCTGCAGTATATCGCCGCGGCATGGGTTTATTTTATGCGATTTGATACCGTGGTGTATGGAATGATAAAGAAAGATGCCGACAACTACATGAGTAAATGGTGTAAATCAATGATCACTCATCCCAAACTGTCTCTACCAGAACAGCCTACTGGATATCCACATCCGTATTGTGTAAGACAGTAAATTCCACCTAAAGTGCACATCACACTATCGACGAGACTGATCTGCCCCGCGGATTCTTGCCCACGGAGTAGGGTGCGATAAAGTAGAGTTTATGATGGTGCAGTACAAGGCTTGAATTATCGACTGGGCTAGGTGGGGTACCGCACGACAAGACGAATTCGACAAGACACTACACAAGGCAAAACACGACGGGATATAACGAGCCACGCCGCGAAAAACTCCCAGGCGCATTAAGTTTTCTCACAGCACCACAACATAGAAATGGTCATGGAGTATCATATAGGCCACTAAACACCTGCCTCACGGTCTTGATCTTGAATTCCCCTTATCCTATCCCCTTGACCCACCATCGGGCTCTATCACTAGTCAAATATTGACAACAGCGCTCCCCTCCCAGACGCTCTGCGGTTCGAGGGAATGCCATTTCGACACAGCTCCCGCCTCAACGCAGACTAGTAGCCCCCGGGGTGTCAGTACTCTGGTTCTTGTAGAAAAGTGGGGAAGGGGACTTACTCATGTTCTTGTACCCATCTTCGGGCCCAAAGTCCGCCATCTTGCTCGCGCCCTCCCAGGGGTTCCAGACAACTATATCTTCCAGATTGGTTCCGCCGACTTTGAAGATTGTTTCACCTCCATTCTTCACTTGGACCGCGTTTGGGACGCCGGCATATACACGATCCACTTCAGAGCGGACGGGGAGCTCAACCTCTTCCTCGACGGCTTCAGATTTTGTAACTTTGCATTTGTAGCTAGTGCCTTTGAGACCTTCGATTGTGAGATTGTTTATGTCCTATCCTCATTAGTCCTAATCCGAGCGTCGCGAATACCATTAGTCTTAATCTGGGGGAATACGGGAATACGAAAATATGTATGGAACAAAACGTTAAAGTCAAACGTTTCTGATCCTTCATTTCTGACGAGCATTTTTGTCTCGAGACTGCTCATGCTTAGGTTCACGGAGTAAATCAGGCCAAATTCGTAGGGCCATTGATTGCGCTGGTCATCGGTAAGGTTCTCCGGACCGAGACCAAAGTCAACCTGGATTGCGGTATCGGCTTCACTAGTTCGGCCGAGTAGTTCCCACTATTCATGATGTTAGTGCTGTCGAAGGAGGGATAATAGTGGTTACCTTGCAGAGTCTCGCAAATCCGTGCTGTGGGAGGGCGGCGGTGGGTCCTTCCGTGGATTTTCCGAACACCTGGGGCAGTGCATTTTAGCCGGCCTCGCCCATACAAGTTTCATCGAGAATCAGTGCTTGAAAACATGCGTACCGGAAAAACCAGCGGAATTCCACCTCTTACTGATAACCACAAATAGTCAATGTGAGCACAGAAATAATAAAGGTATCAGAGCTGGAGACAATTAAAGACATACCAGGCTTCGATCCATCTATTGAGCCGTTACTCATCAGCTATCTCATCTCATTCTCACCCCACCCCGCCATCCAACCATCAGCTGCGGGGCAAACACTTACCGAGGGCCGCCTTTTCGCTCAGAAACAGCTTTTCCTGCCCATCGACTACCCAGGAAATCACCGTAGCACCGTGTAGCAAGATCTCGGCGGATTCCCCAGTGGGTAGAGATAACTAATGTCGGCGTTAATTCCGGAATAGCTCCCACGTTGGGGGCGGGAGGGTGGTGCTATGAGAGGAAGGGTAGAGAGATAAAGTTACCTTGACCCGGTCGCTCTCGAGAACGAATCCCGGGTTTTCTGCTCCAGTAGAGCTCACGGGAATTGGAACCGGCTTCTTGCTGCGTTCGACCATCACGTTTCTTTTGGACTGTGGTTCGTGGTACGATTCTTATAGGTAAGTGGGATAGCAACGGAAATGATGCTAGGGAATGGTTCGGCGGGTCGGGGGGTAGACTAACTCGATGGTGGGGTTTATCTGGCTACTTGTGGAGTGCCGTACCGTCCTCGATGGATCGCCCCCAGTTTCACTGCTGACTAGGCATAATGCAGTAAACCGCGTTACTTGGATGAGCTGTAAATTTACTCGAGTACCGTGGTCAGTAGACTACTCGAGTAGCATGCCGGCACAAAGTAGTACTCGTCCAGCACTGTACGAGTACAGTACAGTACAGTACGGTGCTGGTACCGCTAATAATATTATGATACCGGCGCAACCTGCACACTTCGAGCCCTGCCAAGTGTTCCCTAAATGGTTGATCAACGTTTCGTCCCTGGCTTCGGGCTTCACAATGCAATAAATAATATCCATGAATAGCTTGCCATCAGAAGTATGTAATTTAGCCTACAATTATAACTGACCGTATTGGGATATGATTCGCTTGAGTTTTAACATTACGGTGGCGCGGCTTCTCCAGGGCGGAAAGAATATCATAACTTCAACATAACGCATATCCAAGAACGATTTAACCCAAGGATAACTGTCAATTAAAGTAGTATCATACTGTAATAGCCATCCTACCGTTATGTAGAAAAGCACCCTCTACAACCTAGAATCAACACAATGATATTATTACAAGTGACCTCACCCCACAGTGAATCATACCATAAAGAAAGAATATGGGAATGCAATATCGAGGAGTGGAAAAAGACGACAGGGAACTCCGTAACTTAAGACGAAACTTGCAGGGTAAGGGAACATGGCTATCATACACAATGTAAATAAATTTATCTACTTTCTCCCTTTCCTACGAAGTTGGGAGAATGCGTCAAACAGGATATTTTCCGCCCAACGGTATTCGTCTGGCGTTAGGCTTGCACTCTCCAAGGCTCTCAATGCCTTCTGTAATCCATCAATAGCAGTTTCTCCACTAGTAGGCTCCGATAGGGTTTCTAGTTGTCTTGTCGACAAGCTTCTGCGAGCTCCAATTCCCTTGGATGGCCCAGCATCCGCCTCCTTTTCTGAATCAACCATGGGTGTAAAATCCTGAGACTGCCTATGAGCACCCAGCGACTTCCTCTTGAGGCGTCTTGGAGTCTTGGGGGTCTTCGGGGTATCTTCGGCAGTTTCGGGTCGTGCGGTTGAGTCTAATCGGCCCTTTCCTCGGCTGGACTTCGGTGTTCCCTCTGTGAAAAGGGTATGCGCCTTCGATCCAACGTAGGGAGTAGGCCCCACAAGTTCATCGACGTGGTCTTGGGAGTCATCAATTGACGAATTGACACGGAGCTGAGTCTCCTCAATGAATGAAACATCTGGACCGTTGTCATTACTTTTGAATGATTCTTTGGTAGACGATCGGGTGCGTCTTACGGGTAAGCTGGCGGTATTACGACGCTTCGGTGTAGGCGTTGCTAAATTCTCGACTGAATTTTCAGTTAGCAGAGTGCTTCCTTGACATTCAAGATGAGAGCACTGACAACTCGGGTTCTCGTCGTTGTTCGAGCCATAGTGGTCGACGGCTTCTAGCTTGCGCTTGCGCGTAGCTAATTTCGGTCAGTATATGTGAGACAAAAGGTAGAGACGTGTAAACAACAAACATTTAGTGGAAGCTGGTGGTTTTGCAATGGCAGCCTTTTTCACAGATGACCTAGTGGTTGGTGGTGACATTGTAGAAATTGTTGCGAGTTTTCCAGGAGAGCTGGAATTTTTGGATGGAGATGAGATTGAAGTGGATTGGGACTTTTGGGGCGAGGACTCAGTCTGTTCCTCATGCGCAGGGTAGGACGACATGGGTGACTTCGAGTGTGGCGCGTCGGGCTCGGCAACAGTGATAGTGCCTGATATTTTCTTTGGGGATTCGGAGGCCTTTCGTGCAAGAGATCGTCGTCTTGGTCCTGAACATGCACGTCTGCGCTTTGCTGGAAGTTTGGATGCTGCGCGTTCCTCCGTCATTATCTGGACCCCAGGGCTTGGTTCCCGACTTTGAGGGTTATCCGATTCTGTGTTTGGCTCGTTAATTTTTGAACTCTCTTCATCCTCTGAAGAGACTGGGATGAAACGAGATTCTATGTGGGATCGCTCATCACAAACTCTACTGCCTTGAACGGAAGATATTTCAACGACTATGTCGGCCGAGTTCTTAGGTACTTCTTCAACCTCCTCCCCACTGGAGATGCGATTCTCCGGGGCATCAACAAAATCGTCGCCCTCGATAGAGGGTGAACTAGAGCCTTGCCTCGTTTCGGCCTCATTGATAGCATCGTCTATGATATCGACCATTTCACCGGTGTCTTGGGCCCTGGGAGGGTTAGTCGTAATGTCCACCACTGGCCCTTTAGGGGATTGAGCTTCAGGTGCCTGTGTCATGGGGCTACCAGTATATTTGGGCAATGGTGACTCGGGAAGATCCGCTGGGCTGAATCTGGTTTGAAGTGATTCACCGGAACGCGATCTTCCGGAATCTTTTATGGGACTACGAGAGAGTCGTTTGCTTCGTAGACTACTTGTGGCCTTAGCAGAATCATTCGGTAACCTGCCACGCTTGCTGGTGGAATAGGCATTCAGGTTTCCGAAGAGGGCTGCGGTTTCTGACTGCCTTTCCTTCATTTCCTTCTGTCTTTCAGTGAGTTGTGAACTTGAAATGGAGCTGCCTTTCTCCGCTGGGTCGGTTTCAATGGCGACAAACTCGATTTGAGAATCCGTATGTTTAGGGCGAGCGGGGGGGTTTTGTAGATTTCTCGTGCCAAGTGATCGCCTTGGGCGGGAACTGAATAAACCCTCCCTTTGCCCTGTTAGTGGCGAAGAAGCCCTTGACCGGCGTCTAAAGGGCGAGGTCCCAGACCGCGAGGGGGTTGGACTCATCCAAACCTCTTTCTCTTGCATCAGTTCCTCGAACTTTTCCTGAGATTCAGAAAATTGTGGAGGGGTTGGAATAATCTAGGGCATGTTAACGAGCAAGCCAAAAGCAGTGGAGGGTAAGTGTCCATACATCACCTTCCAACTCGTCAGGGAACGAGGGAAGCTTTAAATCAGCAATAGGCCGCAGTCTCTTTAACGCCCCTCGAACACGCTTTGGGTAGATAATTGATTCCTGTTCACCAAAAGTCAAGTTCCATGACTTGACTGAAATGTTGACGATGGGTTTGAGCCGGCTTTCAAGGCCACACTTGATGAGAGTAGCTAGGTCCGCGAGGATCTTTCCGTCGTGCTGTGGAAGACGAACGATAGCGTCGGTGATCTTTGTCCAGGCGCTGAGCATTTGAACTACACCCTCGCCCTGCTAGGAAAGATTAGTCAGGGTAGAGGGAAACGTAGAGGACTTGGTAGCAACCTTCGTCTTAATCAGGTGATCTAAGTCAAGAACCCACACACCAACCCCCTCCTGAGTGCGCTTGAGCAAGGCTACAAGGGATGTCGGGGGGCACCTGCTAGAAAGATCGCCCAGGATATCCAATAAGGTTATTGTCTCGGACAGAGCCTTTCCCTCAACATTGGAAGAATAAGATTTGCGCAGTAAATGATCTATCAGATCATATAACTTCTCAAGTGGCCTGAAATTGACCGGTTAGCGTAACATTCATGAATTGGATAGATGGCTACATACTCAGTTGTGTTCGGCTTCCGCCCAAGTACTACGAGGGGTGTGCGGGAGGCTCCATCTCCGTGGGGTTTCGCTTTGGAATAATGGACCCTGTCGACGAGATACTTGCATAGTTGAAGACCCCTATGAGGAAGGTATTAGTTATTGGTTTGAGGAGAAAAAGAAGAACTAACTTATTATAATCGACCGATTGGTGCCTAATGATTTCGGCAAGGGGGTCAATGATCCCAATGGCAAGATGCACATCACCTTGTTCATTTTGCACGGTTTCGCAAAGCCGACTCAGCAGTGACTCCCATCCTGGCAAATCATAACTACATGGAGTATAAGTGACATTGAAATAAAGGTAGATGCCTTTGGAATAGAAGCATACCGGCAACCCCACTCAAGCACTTTCACTGCATCTCTGAACTCGCCTCCCACCGGTGATGGACTGAGCAGTATTCTCTCCCGGGTCGGTATAGGCAGCGAAAGAGCCACTAAATCTGCGAGCGTTTGCCACATACCAAGGCCTAACATATCAGCATCTTTGTATGGAAGCAAGTTTGCACATGAAGCTATTAGCGCTAGCTTCTTTCTTCTTGAGTCCTGTGAGCTACAGCATCTCCAGAGGATAGCTTTAACACAGTCGTGATACTCTTCATCCAGAACTACACCTTCTGTAGGTAGAAGAAACATGGAGATCATGTGCAAAACCGGAGAATAGATAATCATAGAGCTATTGCCAGAAGAATACTTATGCGGAGGCGTGGCTGCGGGTGCGAAGTTGTTCTCCTCGTCAAGAGCCAAGAGCTTCTCCGTGAATGGCAATGTCCCGAGGGCAGATATGGCTGCATTAATCAAGAAAACGAACTTCCTTATGAAGGACTCCGAGGAACCGACTTGTGTTTCATTGAAGGCCACGGGCCCAACTTTCCACATCCGACGGAACAGGGCAAGAAGCTGAGCCACAGCATCCATGAGATCTCCCGATATTTTAATTTCCTTACTCCCAGCATCGGAAACCGCTTTGACAAATCTAACCCAAAGGAGCTTCGGACCGTCCTCGGTCTCGCTAGTCTTCCACGGGGTGCGTCGGAGGGCAGTTTCGACTGTTCTCAAGACTATTGCGCTATTCGATCTAACCCACTTAGGGTCAAGCCTCGGGAGTTCGTTTGGTGACATAGTAGGAGGTTTCAAGACGCGGTCTTCAGACCAAGGCTTCTGGATAGATCCTTCAAACACGGCCGAAAGTATTTTGCATCCACCTTCCACTTCATCCTTACTGGATAGAGCTAACCTCTCGAGCACACCTACAACCACGACATCCCAAATTTCAGAGAGCTGCTTGTGGGGGGCATTGGGGCGAAACCCGTAATAAAGCAGAACTGATATATTAACCATTGCCGCCATCCGTGGCCGCTTAGTGTTAGATAACGCGTTCTTCGGGTCAAGATACTGACCAAGAGGTTTGCAGAGAAGCTCCAAAAGTTTGCGGGTGGTGGTTGGACCGATATTCATAGCATATATAAGCTTTTGCCAGGCTATCTGGGCTTCTACCTTCACATCCTTATCTGATACGTTAAAACAGCCCTCAATAACCCGCAGCCAGTGAGTGAAGAACTCCCATTGCTCAGCTGCTGTTACTCGGATGAGCAGAAGCACAACACCCCACATCCGGGCAACAAACACGCCCTCGCCATCCTTAATAAAAAGTTCGAGGCGCTCTTTGATCAATTCAAACATGCGTTTGCCGTTCGCAGTATCCCTGCTAAATATGTTATTCAAGCAACGGGCAGTAGATTTCTCGCTTCCCAGGGCTCTTGGGATTTCCGCCACACAGGCTAGTGCACGATTCCGCACTTCCTTCACACTGCTCAAAAGGCCACCAAACAAATTGTCCATCCAATCGTTTACCCTCGTGAGCATGGTCTGCCTAGCCTGAGACAATAATCTGAAATAGATGTCGATGCGTTCCTTCGTAATAGATTTTCCCGTAACCCGTTGATCAAGACTGTCAAGCGCTGTAATAATTTGATTTGCCCTCTCAGAAGTCATAATGCGCTGTGGGAACCGCTGCTGGGCAAGGAAATGAAGAAGGTGATTAACGATGAGCTTAGGTGTATGACCATCCTGCACTCGGTCTATAGCGGTTTGCAGAAACCATGATGCCACTCCATCATCCATCGATTCCGCCAACCGGAGCGTCCAAGCGAGGATGGTCAATACCTTAATAGCTTGCTGGATGAGCTGACTGTCAGACTTCCCGCTCTCGTCCAGCTTGGCATCAAAATCCCGCTTTATGAACACACACAAGGAAGGGAGTTTCTCCTCCATGAGCGCTAAATTTAGTATATTATCGTATGCCTTCATGCCGTTGGAGAACGTAACATAAGCGTCGATTTTCTTGCTGCGCTCGGTCGATTCAAGCGCTTGAATGATGGAATCCAACAACTTGGGCAATGACTCAGGAATGGGTTGCTCGGAAGACATTTTATCGTCAAAAAGGGGTATCGGAGAGCTGTAGGGCTTAAGAATTGACTTCAAAGACTTCGGGTCGATTGCTGATCGAATCGGAGTCACGGATAATAGCGAATCTGGCTTATGATACTTTGTCCATGGGGACCAGCCGACACGCTTCTTGGGTTTCACAGTCGCGTTATCCCCAGAGGAAGAGGGAGGCGTGATCTCTCGCGAAGATGGCTCCACTAGAGACTCGGTAGCACTGTCTATAGAACAGTCTTTTTCTACCGATCGTTTCGTCTTTGAGGCTGACCGAGGGGACTCTCTTGGTGGCGTAGGAGGCCGTGGCTGCATTTGCTCAACAGAGCGTGACTTAGCTGCGGCGAAATAAGGACTCGTAGTTTCTGATTGAACCATGATCAATCAAGTAACCTGGATGGAGTCCAGCTCAGTATTCAAGCATGGGATCAAAGGGTAAGAATATGGTGGATCTGAGCGAATGGACGCAACTAGCGCCAGGAGATATGATCAGATGCACCAGTGCCGAGTAGAAGCGGTCCGAAGGGCTATGGGGAAAGGGTGGATATGAGAAGGAAGTTTGATAGGGAGGGCTTGTGAGATAGCCTAGAATAATCCGAAGGGAACCGGGGGTAACATGCCGCACCGACTGAGGAGGGGGGGTAAAGGGACTCAGTCGGTTACCATAGAGACCGAAGTCACTTTTTGAGTGGTATGATAGTCTACTATAAAACGGCTGTCCTCGCGAGGATGAGACTTGCGCGACGCGTCGAAACGAACGCGGATCTTCGCCCGGCTAACGCGGGAACCGAATCCGCCCTTTACCCTAATTCGCGGTATCTGTATTTGGTTAGGTTAAAGATGAAATTGCTCGAGTGTCTTGGCATATGTCTCAACGAGAAGTGGAATCATAGCAAACAACGAAGCCCATTGCGCTCGCGCATCCCGGAGCTTTAACCACACCCTTCTCGAGTCGGAGCTCTGCCGGCGCAGCCTCTGCTCAGTGCTGCCCCTCGCAACAAGGCGCTGTCAACTTATTTTCATTTCGGAAAAAACAAAACAACAAGAATCAAAAATATCCCCCAGCAATTACTCTAGTCTCAAAGACCCCTCATCATCTATCCCCTGCTTTAGTCCTATTCGGTGTCCTGTGGTGAACTGGTGCACCGGTTAGTTCTTCCATTGTCCCAGAGCAAATTGTGCATAGGCTTCCACTCAAATTTCCAGCAATCTATAATTCCAGCTTTCAACTCCTCCATCACTTGTTCCCAAGTTCACGTCTGCTCGAGTTAGTTTTTCAATGGCGGCGCCCAGCTCCAACGCAAGTTCGTTCAAGGAATTTCCCTCTCCTTTGATTCACATGTAAAGCACGGCTGCTAATAAGATTATGATATCAAAAAGGCAAGTTAAGCCAAGTCCAAGCTCTTGTTGATATGTTGAGGACAGATCTCCAAGATCATCACCTTCCTCCAGAAAGTAAGTGTGCTCCTTGAACCATTCAAGATTTGACGTCTTACCTCAGTACAGAGAGAGTCATAACCCTCGAGAAGCTTAAAGTTTTCGGGCGGGATGTGAACCAATCCGACCCGATATTCACGATGGAAGCAAGTCATTCTCCCCTTGTTTACTCGAAGTCATCTAAAAAGGATCCCAGGGGATAGAGATGCTATGCAAACATGCCTTTGAAGGGACCGACAGTAAATCCGCCCAAGAAGCCATGCGGTGTCTGGCAAATGCATTATTGAAAGTACCCGGGACCAGGCAGATTTTTGTTGAACTTGGGTACACAGGGCAGGCAGTGAATAGATACCAGGTTAGCCGTGACCCGGTCCTCCATACGAGAAAGGAGATGTTGCTTACATTTATACCGGTACATCACCCAGAATGATTCACTTGATGAAGAATTCTTAGCAGGTCGGATTTTGTTTCTGGTTACCTATGCGACTGCTGAAACACCGAAATGGCTGGAAGAGTATAAACTCGCCAATTACCTCAACGACGTAACTGATTATTCCATTGTTGGAAAAATGAAGGGGCCTGTTGGGGCTAATATCTTTGCAGGCGATTACGAGGCATGGAATAATATACTCCAAGATCAACAAGAATGAACAACCATCTGCACTTCAAGATATGGCGTTCACAGAAACCACAAAGCTGTTGTTCAACCTCACTCACTTTGCCCCGGAGAAAGTAGATTTATTCTCAAGGTTGACTTTACGTAACGAACCCTTACTCTCAAGGGGGATCCGCTGACATCTGTAAATAGGTCCATTCCAACCCTCTTCAAGATTCTCTGCAGGAGGACACTCCCCAGTCTTCCCCTTCAATCATCCGTAGCCCATCTGGTCAATGCACTTTTAAACCTCGATCTTTCATCTCAAGCTGGATGCGTATTTCCTTCTTTCGACCCCACGTGCAATGTTGCCAGGCTTATCGAAGTCCTTGACCTTTCTGTAGAGAGCCCAAACGATAATCGTAACAATCAACGTAACCAGCTATTCAATGAAGCAGGGGCCCCACTAGTAACATTATTGAGAAAAGTCTTTGAAATCTCCTCCGATCAAGCCAAAAAGTACATGCGGATACGATTGCTACCCTCTGATGAGTAAGTCCTTCCCTCCGCTGAGCAACACCCCAGGCTCACACAATGGCCGTTTCATTAGAGAACGTAAGAACCCACGAGGGAAAGATGATTCATTGGCGTCTCGCCTATTACAACTGTCCACTTCTGCAGCAGCTTTGAATATCCGTCAACACCTTGCCTCGATGCTGTTTGAGGTTTCCAATTCAAACCCTGAGGAATTTGTCCGTAACGTTGGATATGGCTACGCCTCGGGGCTCCTTCTCAGTGCTGGTGTAGAACTTCCCCAGTCAGCTTTAGAAAGCCTCTCTGCTTCCTCAGACTCCTCTGGGCGGCTTTTCAACCCAATTACGGGCCAGGCATTGGATAGTGAGCCAGAGACAAAAGACCCCTTTAGCGAGATGACGGACGAAGAAAAGGAACGGGAGGCAGAGCGATTGTTTATATTATTTGAGAGGTACAAGCAGCCTATTTCTCCCGGATAATGAGATGAACTCGTGCTAACATTCTACAATAGATTGAAACAGACAGGTGTCGTGGACATCCAAAACCCTGTGGAAAAAGCTCTCCATGAAGGTCGATTCGAAGAGCTGGATTGAAAGCTGCGAATGCCTTTTTCGTTAGAATTCCTACATGTTCAGGCTACGATCATATCCGAGAAATGTTGATTTTGAGTTGGAGGGCTTCCGGTTGCCGCCAGGGCAGATCGTCAGTTCCGGTGTATCGATTCCGATGGGAACGTAAATATTTGCTTCCTTGACTTCTAGCGAGGAACTTTTTTGAGCAAAATTCAAACGTTATATTGTGGATTCGTATCTCTAATACTTATTATATAAGCTTCGAAGTCCTCCCGGTACCTAAACGACTAGAGGGTCTGTAGGTTTCTTAGTAAATGAGTGATCTATGGTGGCGCAACCATAATTAGAAAGTCCTTAGCCTTGAGAAAACTGTGGTGCCGGATTATATGTAGAACGCTAGAGTGTATTTTTTTTCTCTTTTTTTTCAGCATTCGTTGCTAGTGTTAAATGGTACTACTCACTTACGGAAACTCCCACATCTGGATTTTTCGTTATGAGGTGGAGTGTCCGAAATGTGATGTGATGGGGGGCGATGGGGATGATTGAGAATCAACAGAGCTTTCCGGGTGACAACACCATAAGCCCTGTACCGGAGTTGTGGCTAAATCTGGCTCCAGCCTTCTCGCCCACTCAGAGGAAAGTTTGGCAGACTTTTTTTTCTTTCTTTTCTTTAAACGTGCTTTTCGATTATTACTAGTCAACTGGACTACCTATAATACGGTACTATCGGGCACTTTGGACTCATCGGTAGACTTTTGTGCGCACCTAAATACAGTAAATTTAGCAACAGTGTGGTAGAAAGTAAAATCTGTTCGAAATCTGTTCGTATGGCACTGGGTGGGCGAAAAAAAAAAAAAAAAAGCTTGTGCAACTGGAGACCATTCACGATTGGCTCACCAAATGATTGGCCCTCGAACGTTAGACTACATGTCATTTGGCCTATTGTAGCTGGCGTTCGACGAGGGAAAGATTGCTCCGCTTGAACTTTTTGATAGGTGATAAATTAAAGGTCTCGAGGGGTGCCTGAAATTGTGAACAGATGACTCCATTCTATGAGACTGTGGAACGAGGAGAGCTTCTCACCCTTCCGTAGAATGATCTCCCTGGTTGATGGGAAGGCACTCGAGTGGACCGCTCAAGTGCTTGTATCATACTCAGTTACGGTATCATAATATCATGCTTGAGTAAGGATGGGCAAGAAACGTGCAGTACCGTACGGGTAAAGGTACTGTACTCAAGTATCAACCATACGAGTACTCGCATGGTATGCGGGATGTTCCGCTGAGCCTCACATGGAGTCGCCAACAACGTCACCAATGCAGATTGTGTTTTGTTTGGATCTATATATACTATTTGAAGGGAAACGTCACAATATTCAATGAATTAACTTCACCGTTTGTTTACTCGTAAATTATATACCGGTACCATGTGTTGAGGTTAAGTCATCTGCGTCAGGAACAGAACCGGTAGTCTAACTCGTCTACCGAGCAACCGACAATTCTCGGATACTGTAATTCCCTGTGGATCACTCCGCCACCCGCAGGAGAGCAGCTGCTTGGGTGTATATCGTGACACGATTCCGGAGTTGTTAAGGGGTAGACTATGTACTCGTACTTGTACGAGTACATAGTACAGTAGAGTGCAGTTGTGGCTGTGATTGGATTGGGGCTTTCGTTTAAACAGCCATAAGATTTCTATGGTCGCCGGCTTACCATCCAGGTAGGTTAGGGTGGTGTCGCGCTTCTTCAAGCATTACCGTATTTTAACATATCCCACCGTACCCTCAACCCGCCTTCTCACATACCCTGTTCGCTGCACAGCATTCTCCTTGATCTGTCGAAAATCAAAGACACACCCTCTACTCGTATGAATATAGAAACTCCTGTTAAATTGTTGTCTCAATAAACATAACAATCTTGGTCCTTTTTGCGCCCATTTTCTCTGGACGTGCCAAGTCAAAGTACCAGCCAAGAAAGGTCCCTTTATAACTTACTTCACAACAAGTCGTCAACTTCAACATGTCTTTAATTCCCTACAGCTCAAACGATTCCCGCAGTGTGGTTCTGTGAGTTCCTATTGTCCACCGTCCAAGACCCTAATAATGAATTGGCCAGAGCTCCCACTAACTGATTATCCCCCCAGGCGCCACCAGCAGACACTCGTGGTTTATGATCCTCAATCACATCAATTAGCTCTCTGTGAAGCATCTTCCCCGCTTAGCCCTCCCGCTCCTGGCGAGTTTCAGAGCTGTCCCCTTTGCAAACGTCCCCTAAGTGATGATTCACGCAGGGATGATGGTTCTCCTGACCGGTCTGCCCCAGGTATCGGACATCGGACATCCGGCAATATGGCGGAGTCCGGCTTCGTTGATCGGGAATATTTCCGAATGCTTGACTCTGGGTCCGTATGCCTAGAAAATTCTTTGGGTCTAGTAATTAATTTATTAAAGTAGTATGCCAGTGACAAGTGAAGACGGCGAGTCTGAACCTGCTGTGAGACGGCAGCCGCCAAGTCCAACTAGGCGGAGGTTACCAAGGGCAGAAGTCGAAGAAGGAGAGAGTGAGGGTGGAATAGATGAGGAGTCAATAGCTGGAAGTGCCACTCCAGCTGCTGGTGGTATCAGTCAGGCAGCGTTTAGTCCGAAGTATTTCGAAAGGCATGGTGACGACCCGGCGCTCTGTGCTTCGGATATCCGACTAATCCGGGTTATTTAGGTTCTTCGTAACAGAGAGGGAACTAGGGAGGGGAGGAACAGGAGTTGTTTTACTTGTTCGCCATCTTCTTGATGGTGTGTCGCTGGGCCATTTCGCATGCAAGCGTGTTCCAGTTGGTCCGTCCCCTACCCTAAACCGCTATGCGTCGGACATGTTCCTAAAACCTGTTTCTTAGGTGATAATCATAAATGGCTTGAGAAGGTTCTCATGGAAGTACAACTTCTACAGCAACTATCACATACTAATCTGGTATCCTATCGCCATGTTTGGCTCGAAAACGTCCATCTCACAAGTGTGTCTCCACATCTCTCCGAGGTTCTTCCAGACATCTGACTAAAATCTTCGTAGCTTTTGGACCGAGTGTTCCCTGTGCGTTCATTCTGCAACAGGTAGGGTTTATAATTGCCTTTAGATGAAATGCAGGGCTAACAGTTTGTGAAAAAAAGTACTGCAATTTCGGTGATTTGCATAATTATGTTCTAAGTGCTGCTAAACAAACCACGACGGAGCAATTGAAGGACCAAATGCGACGACGCTCCCGAGGAGAGCCAGATCTATCCTTAGGTCTCAACAAGCCGCGCAAACTCTCGTTTGAGCAGATAATATCCTTCTTTCGCGATATTGCCTCCGGATTGAACCATTTGCATTCAAATGGGTTCATTCATCGAGATCTCAAACCTTCAAATTGTCTACTCAATGACACTGGAGTCCCCGGTCAGGGGCTTAGGGTTCTAGTAAGTGATTTTGGAGAGGTGCAAATGGAGAGTGCAGCAAGAAAGTCAACAGGAGCCACAGGCACGATATCCTATTGTGCCCCTGAAGTTTTGCGAAAAGGTCTGCCTAAGTCAGGTATTTCTTATCCCAATTTTTAAAACTGTTGCTAAAATGTTACCTCAAGTGACTCCTGATGGCGGATATGAGAACTTTACGGCAAAATCCGACATTTTCTCTTTAGGAATGATCTTGTACTTCATGTGCTTTGGTAACCTGCCTTACGTTGGCGCTGATATGATGAACGAGGAGAACGAGAACCTGGACGCTTTGCGGGAGGAGATCATGGCATGGCCAGGTCTTGATGAACGAACAAGGCTCAGACCTGATTTGCCTGAGAGACTCTATCAGTCTTTGATGACACTGATTAGTCCGGACCCAAGTGTTCGGCCTACGGCAGAAGAAATACTATTGGGTATCGAGATGCAAGAAGGGACCCCCTTGGTAAGAATTGAGTTCGCTCACCCTAATTCTTATTTGGGTTGTTGACTACTGAATGACAAGCAGCGCCGAGGTTCTTCCGCCTCACAGAAAAAGCCAACTATCGTTGCAGACGATCAGAATCTCATCGGCTTTCGTCGAATCTCCCCTATTGCGGATACCCCTCCACCTTCAACTCCGGTAGGAAGCCCGTCTATGCATCAAGGTTACGACACTTTCAAGAGAACCCCCAAACCACACCCAGTGATGAAGGTTCCTAAAAGGGCGTCAAGGCTTGGTGTTGGGTCTCGACTGGGGGAGAGTCCCTCGCCAAGCCCTGTTGTTAGCACTCATGTTGGTCGAGATCCAGAATCGTCGTTGGTGTTGAGGCCAAGGATGGAAGCAATAAAGTCGCCGAGGGTCTTGCCCGGGGTTGCACCTTGGAGAATTAGGACTGGCATGTGGTTAGCACGCGCCCAGTGGCATCTTCTATCGAAGTTGGGGATCTTCTTGATCAAGGTATGCCGTTAATCTGGTAAGGGTATCGGTGCACACTGACAAGACACACAGGTTGCAACCTTGACAGGTCCATGCTCCCCCTCCGCTACGAAGCCTTGGGTTTTTTATCCCTTGCTTTCTGTGGCAGCGCTGGATTTTTCAACGCATGTATCCTTATACCACCTTTTGTCTGTTCTTATTACTAACCCTGCCCCCTTTCAGACCCAGCTTCCTTGCCACTGTTATTTTACTTGCTGTCCATGTAGTGGTTTTTCTTCTGGTCGATACTTTTGGGTCTGTTTGCGTGCCGAAAGCAATTTAATGATCCCCGCGATCAAGTTTGAAGCTTGGGTTACGTGGGGTGAATGGCGTTGGGTTCTTTAGGGTTATTCAATGCGACCAGGTTCAGAGAGGAGACAAATGGTATACGGTGAAAGCAAGGCTTTTGGCCTCCAGCATAAGTAATGCGCCTGAAAGAGGTTACGGTATTCTACTTGAATTGTAGTGGTTAGGATGTCTGTAGTAAATCATGCTCCTGATCCGTGCGGTAACAACACTTCGGGGGTTTTTTTTTTTTTTTTGTTTTGGTAAAGGCCTCGTCTCCTCTATGATAATATTATGATACCTTACATTTTTTCAAAAAAAAAAAACACCTTAAATGCCACTAAATTCTCAGAAGAGAAAAGAAATATCTAGTTTATTTAATGTGTTCTAAGACAAGCTAAGGTACATGGATCATATTAGCATATGCTATATAGACACACAACCTCTACTTGGCAATTCAACAAGTATCCGGAAATCCAGATTAGTGCCTTGGCTGTCTTGGCACCAAGAATTCTCAAGAGGAGTGAGTGATAGCTTGTGATCACACTTGACGAGGATAAAACTTGAGCATAATAACATCCAATTTATAATAGAAAAACAATAGAAGAATAAGGAGACAAATAACTAATGGAATAGAGAGTAAACCCAAGTCAGACAGAGGGGGTTCAGGGGAAAAAAGTTAAAGATTAAGCTTGAAATTGATTTCCTTCCTCTTGTTGAATACATTCAGACATAATCTTAGGAAGTTTTAAAATTTCATAATTCACCTCTTCCAAAGTAATCGCGTCCCATTCCTCTACCAGCAGTGCTTTCAACTCACTAATGGTAGTAACCGTTTCTGTGCCTCTGTATTGTAGGATTCTTGTTTTTATCAATCTCCAAATATGTTCAACGGGATTAAAATCTGGGGTGTTTGGTGGCCAATCAACTTTGGAAATTCCAGCCTTTTCCCTTTCCCAGTTCGTATAATCTGAGCTGTGGCTCGGAGCATTATCTTCCATTAAACTGAAGTCCGGGTTTTCCTGTAAACGACGATGGCATGCAGGCCAAAGTATTGGCTTACAAACACAAACCACATAACGCCAAGAGTCAATCCCTTTAACACCCTTCCGCTTAAATGGCTTTAGAATATGCTTCTTACCCTAAAATGATTGTGTGGTTTTGACGGTAGTACTTTGTGCCTTTGCGATTCATTGTGGCTCTCTTGCTGCTCGCAGTTCCTCTTCTCGCAAGATCCTCCACTCCTCCGATTGCTTCTAAACCGCATTTAGCTTCTCCTCCTCTTCCAGCCTATCTTTATTCAGCCTTTCTATTTCCTCCTTTGCCTTTTTTTTTTTCCTCCCTTGTCTCTGCTTCTCACACATAAAATGGACCTTTAAAGTTCCATCCAATCATACCCCAGGACATAACTGAGGTGCCTTTTTTATTTTTAGTCCCAACACAGTCCTCATTCCACTGTTTGCCCTTCTCTCGCCATACTAGACTGAGATCAAAAACTGCTCCCAGTTCTATTGATATCTCATCTGTGAATGTCAAATTTGCCCATTCCTTATATGGGCGCCAATCTTCTCTTTCCTTGCAGTACTCCTAGTAAATGTCAGTTATTAGTATTATTTTCTATGGTTTGAGAAGGTAACTTACAAGTCTTTTCTTTTTGCTCCGTGTGTTCAGAATAAATTTAAATTCTTCACAATATGCGCCTAAACCCCGCTCTTGAAGGGCATTAAATACAGTGCCATTTGATACATGTGCTAATCCGGCTTCACGCTGGATATCAACAAGCTTCATCCTTTGAGATTTACAATCATGCTTTACAAAAGCAACTAAACCATTCTTCTCCCCCTCACTTAATGTACTTGGTCTACCTGATCGCATATTTGGGTCGAAAACACAAGCGGCAGAGAGTTCAATAATGGTAAAGGGCTTATCAAGTGTGGACTCAGAAGCTAAGCGGGCATTGCGGGCATTTTACACAGCATGGCACCAAATATCATTTGCGGTGGATATAGGGATTCCGGTAAGTTGTTTGATTTTTTCGTATGTGATTGGCTTTGGCAGTGATCAATAGGCAATGACAATCGCTCGCCGTCGTGGTATTACCTCTTTTCCTAATCACTGTTAACTTCCACATCATTCAGAACTCCAAGCTAATCTGTCACTTTTCCCCTCTCTTTATAATAGCACTTGCCATTCTAACCTTTGCTAACTTTTGCTCAAACGCGTTGTTTATATGTAGTGTAACAATTAAAGGACGCGCTCGGGATAAATAGATAAATTTACCAACTGTCTGCCCCTGAATTCTTGGCGCCAAGGCACCAATCACCATTTCTGGATACTTGTTGAATTGTCAAGTACACCTGCTTGAGTCTTGGCAGTCAGATGAAAAACCATTAAACTAGAAAGGCAAACAACAGCAACTGAGTGCCTGATCCTCAGATCCTATGACTTGAATGTGGAGGAGTGTTGCCAAGAGTTACAAATATCTAATCAGTAAATGGTATAAAGAGTGCTCTGGAGTAGCAGCCAGCAGTATCCATAATCAAAAAACTATACATGAGTCATTAAAAGCAAGCCAATACTCTAAAATTGACAAATAACATTACCTAAATACTTATAAAAGAAAATCCTCAAATAAGGAAAACTCCATAGTACTAAGTACCTAAATTCAAAACCATATGACTTAGGTGACTGGATTCACATAGCTCCAGAAATCCATCAATAGCTGATCATGACCTCTATGTGAGAAATAACTCATTGTAATGATTGTACTACTTTGCTTATTACTTCTTCAACAGGTAATAACCTTATTTCTTATGTCTTTTCAATATCGCGACAGCTTGGATAGCTATTATCTTTACTATTGCTCTTGATACAGAGGATCACGTTGTACTTGTGCTACCACTGATAAGTGAGATATCTTTCTCATATAACGTCATAAAAGGTATATATAAAGTATTGATTTGACTTATAGTACAGGAAAGAACTTAGATGGTTGCGTGAGGAGTCTGTACTGGAGGTTCCTGTTTTTTTTTTAACTTCATTTAATTCCTGGTTTAAGATATAAGAATATTATATGCAGCGCTAGCTATGGTGTTAAGAAAATCTCTCCACCCAGGACCAAAAGAAAGGTTATATTCTCATAACTGTCTGGTATGGGCCTAACCTTATATACTCCAAGGATGATCAACTCAGGTGCCTTACATGTAGGCCTCACAAATTGAACAGGAAGGGATCTTGCCTAGAAAGCCAACCAAATACCCAAGAAGATTCCTTGCCTGAAAGAAAACCTACCTACTAACTACAAATAGCCAAAAGGAAAGAAACCAAACAAGCTAGGCAGGAAAGTATAAGAAAGAAATATACCTGTAAAACTACCAAAAACCACAATGGAGAGTAAACTAATGGCCTAC